ACATTCGAATTTTCACGCTTAAAAATTTCATTGTACGAATATAACATGTCGAGGATTCAGGAAGCCTGAGTTTCGGAGCTTCGAGTATAATTTCTAGCGCCAGCACCGACATAATCGGGGTGGGGGGATGTAGCGCGGCGAGCACGCAGAAGGGTTCGTTAGAGTTGCGGGTGTTAATGACGCCTCTTTGTCAGTAGCGCGTTCTCGCGCAGTTTCTCACGGGGAAGTCACTCGCGCCGGCGACGGCGGCGGCGAAGTTGCGACGCGCGAAGTTGCGAGAGCGTGAGAGTTCGGGGCGATTTTCTTCGCGTTCTTCGCGACGAAACAAATTTTCGCACGGCAGCGCACTTGCGCGGCGCCAAGTGCGTGCGTGCGTAGGTGCGTGCGTGCCTGAGTACGAGCTTAACGGAGCAGCGACGAGGACGACGCGCGTTCGCAGTTGGCGGCGAGACGACTCTTCAAAATGCGGGTTTGGCCGCAATATAATATCGCTAAGAGACTTCACTTCCGTAATAGTATGTAAATATTATGCGAAGACATAATTTCGGGAAACATTAGTGTTGATACTATTTCGCGAACTGCTCGCCCCGTGACCCGAAATGCAAAGCGACGACGGCGGAGGGCGTCGTCTTCCGGTGCGGCGAAGTAATTTTAGATAATGGGAATCGCAAAATTGTACGGTATTCGTATAAGAAAGCCGGGTTAAGGGGGAGGAGGAGGGGATAGGAAGGGGGACGGCGCAAAACTGCGCTCCGGTCGAATTTGCGGCGCGTTGCGAGACGCGATAAAAACGTTCTGGAATATTGGAATTAGTATCTATTTTCCACGGCACGAAAGTTCCGATAAAAGTTTCTCGCGCCCGCGCGCAAGCCGTTTTGCGCGAAATACACCGAGCGCGTATTAAAAAAGTATTACGCCGCGAAAAGTTTCTTTATCGGGGAGATAAAAAAAACTCTTTCGGCGGAAGCGAAACATTTTTCCCCGTAACATATTTATCGGTCTCTGATATGTTTTTAAATATTCGACGTAGGTCATCGGCCTTTCGTCTCGCGTCGTCGTATTTCGTGGATGTACAAAACGCATCGTGTGTACACACGGCCAATGCAGAGGCAGCTACGAAATTATTTAATTATATGAAATAAATATGTAACTATAAAAATCAAGATTTAGTTGCTTGAATTATACGGTTAAGTTATTAAACTTTGATAATTAATATCAAATCTTAACAACAAAAAATAAGATATATTTGCTAATTATTGCTTGTAAACATATAGTCTGTTGTTTTAGGTGATTTTTCATTTTACTAAAAACATTTCATCGTTTTCACGTAAACTATACTAAGATAACTTGACATGCCATTTCATTTTTATGTATTTCGTTTACTTTATATGTGAAAATCCCCCGTGGTTTCGATCTCGTAAAGTTTAGCGATCCAACTATTAACCCCTATATTTGCCCGAGGCCTGTACTGCTTTATCTCAAGTGATCGGATAAAAACTGACGAGCCCTACTAGCTCTCGTGATATTTTTATAGTTCTTATAATGAGTCTTTATATGGAGAAAGAGAAAGAGAGAAAGACAGAGAGTTTGATGAATGATTTCGTAATATTTACCAAATATGTAGTAATAATCATCATAAACATTTGATAAGAGACGTTAAATATTTTGTAACTATTACTATTTTATTTAGTTGATTCAACTCGGAATAAAAATCGTTCATACCGCTGGCCAATTAAATATCTGGTAATTGATATCGAATTTCGCAACAGTTATCAAATATTCCATCGAAATCTCTAAATAAATGCATTTAGTAAGTATTGCTAGTCTTTTTTTTTGCAATGCAACTTTTTATCTAGTCGTTAAAAAAATATTTTGATTTTTCGAAGATATTCAATTGCAAGCACGTTCGCACACGGGGCTCTTTGATACGTGAATTTAACCGCGTCGCGTTGCTCCATGTTATTTTGCCGTATTATATTATGCCGCGTCACATTGCACATCACGTTAACAACTGAAGCACAGAGATAATACGGCTGAGCTCCCGTCGGAGAGAGGATGTGTAAATGTAAAAGAATGGACTGACGGCGCGCGTCAGAGAAGAGACGGGATATCGAGCCGAGGATCGCGCGGATGTGACGGTAATTTCACGAAATTGCGGTATCTCGTTTCGTACGTTGTAATCTTTTATCGTGCGCGACGAATTTCCGAGGGACACGACCGGGCCTAAAAAAGGGGGTCGAGTCGTTCTTTGCTCTGCTCGCTCGTGCAAATTTAAGTAGGGAAAAACGTTTCGCTGTCAGCCTGCGACTTTTCTTCCCCCCCCCCCCTCTCTCTCTTTCTCTCTCTCATTTCCTCTCATTCTCTCTCACTCTCTCCTCCATCCTCCTTGCTCAGTCTTTCCTTTCAGAGTTTTTATTTCCCGGGGAAGGGTATTAGACGTCTGCAGTTCTTACACATACCGTTAACTCCTGTTTGACGTTTGACGTGCCAAAAGCGAAAAGCAAACACCACAGCCTCGCAAAAGCATCGTTGCCGAAATGGAGTTTTTCGGCGGCTAATGCGGGGCTGCGGGTAAAAATCGGCGTGTTTAACCCCTCGACCTTCCGTCTCGCAACATTTTTCGACGGCGTGCTATATTTATAACGCCGTTATAAAACCGCTCCGCGGTTTTTCCCGTCTCTCTCTCTCTCTCTCTCTCTCATTTTTTTTTCGCGGAATTTTCGCTGTCAATCTATCTGTGCCGACGCGACGTCGCCGTCCCTACGTTTTCACTCTCGGGACAGATTTACATTCACGATTCCGGGATTAGCGTCGAATTAAACGCGTTTTAATAACGAAAGTTCGAGAGCGCGCGAGACACGCATCCCGGCGAGCTCGATGACGGCGAACAGTGTTTTCAATTTCGCGCTCGAGAGACTTCATTCTCGAGGGAGAGGTGTTCAATCCCGCGTACGCTCCTCCAAAGCCGGGCCCTGCGAGGTCCATTTGACGCATCGTTTGACAAAGGGATAAAAAGAGTCTTTCCCGTTTCTATAAAACGTCGCTATCATCGCAATTAATTATCCGTCCATCCATCGGGCAGCTTTTGCCGGTAAATCTCCGGAGTCAACGAGCTTTTCTCGCTAAACGAGATCAACCCTTTCCCCCCCCTTTCTCTTCTCGATTCAAATTTTATCGATAAACTTTAAAAATATAGTACGAGATCATATATCGAGATCTTCAGCGGAACGTCCCGTATCGTATCGACCCGTATTTCCGACTAGGGGGAAAATAAATTTCACAGTAGGGGTGGAACTATTCAAAGATATTCGAAGCTTCGTAACTTCGATATATAATTCGACATATAACGACATACGACGAAGTTCAAAGATTCGGAGTCGAATTGTGAACTCTATTCAAAGTTTCGAAATATCGAAGCTGTTGGTGGAACTAATTTTGGAGAGTGCAACAAAGTGCTGCGCAATTAGAGAGTATCAGTTTAACCCGGATAACATTGAGACGTCGTAAACGCTCTTTCAGACAATAAGACATCTAAAGGAAATCTTTCGGGTGTCTTTTAGACGTGTTATTTAAGTGAGTATCTTTAGTTCAATTCTGAGATTTGTATTTGTCTGGTATAAAACGGAATGAATGAAGCAAGCACAAATAATAAACAACAAATCTCGTTAATTTTATTTTAAAATAAATGCAAATTTCGATATGATGAATAGCATAATGCAAAGCAAAGAAAAATAACATTCTTTGGAACGATAAATTTATTATGCTTACAAAACAAACACTTTCCGGCTCTCGAAGTTTCGAATATTCAAACATTCGAATATTCGAATATCCGGATGGTTCACGCTGCAATATTATTATATATAGTATAGCGCGCCGAAATCTCCGAAATTCGAAGCTTCGAATATGATTTCTGGTCCTACTTCACAGTGCAAAAGTGCACCGGCCGTTTCGGCAAGTTCGGCCGGGAAGTTTCGGAAGCATCTCCGTCGCGCGGTTTTTGACTCGTTCGAGCGGCTCCGCTCGAACCCGTCTGGAAATCGAGACTGCCGCATAGGAGATAACATCTTCGCGAAACTTCGCGAGACCGATCGTCGAAGTGCTGGAAGTTAGGACGCGCGCGCTCGCTCGCCGTTTCCTCCCGCGCGAGCGACACGAAATCTGCGCAAATCCAAATGGAGGATCGAGTTTCGAGCGAAAATTGTCCGATACGATAATCCGTCGCTACCCGTTGCGCACAGCCGCATTACAATTCCGTCGCGAAACGCGAGCGACTGACGAGGCGCTGCGCGACGCTCCGCTACGATACACGTTCAGAAAATTCTCTCTCTCCGCCATCATCTATATATATATTCGTATCGACAAACAGATTACATTGCAAAATGAAATTTCCAATCCCGCTTCCGCGGGGGCAGTCCGCCGCCTCCCACGGGGGAGCCGCATTTAAAGTTTTGCGGCTCGCGCACTAACTGATAATATCCGTTTGACGTTGCTCGCGAAAAGTAAACACGAGCTGCAGCAGCGCGTTTTCCGGCGTCGGTAGCAAAAGCAACGTTACCTTCGGAACTAATTTTTCCTGAAAGTTCCCTCGCCCGGCAGAGACGAACGGAGACGGAGCCGTATTAAACAGAGCCGTGCGAGCGCGCGGCTTTTCCAAATGAAGTTTCCAGAACTATTCCGGAAGAGGTAGAGGAGAGAGAGTAGAGTTGAGTAGACAGAGAGAGAGAGAGAGAGAGAGAGCCGGCTTCGCATAAAGATCACGTCTTATTCTTACCGCCTCGCCTTCGCGCTAATATTAATAACCCCGCGAGTCTACCGCGAGGAATTCGGAATACCATCCGGAAGAGCGAGATTCCACCGGCGGGATTTGCAAGGAAAATTCTATACGGAAAGAAGGACGGAAGTGGGGCCGTTTAGCGAACAACTTAACGTTTTAATCGGAGTTTAAGGCGAGTGTCGCCGCGTATGCGACTTAAAGGATAATGGAGTCGGCTGTTACTCACTTGGACTCGTCCTGATCCTCGTCGTCGTCCTCCGAATCGAAGAAGGCGTCGTCGTCGTCGGGATCGACCGAGGTCTCAGTTCGCATCCGTCTCTGTTGAACTGCGCGCGACTTCGGGATCACAACGTCCCTGAAACACACATTCGCGCAAAATCTACAATAGACTCGGCGACTTGAATCAAGTTAGAAACGTAAGAAACGCGCTAACGAGTTTTAAATGAATATTGCGCATCTATATATGTAGCGGGCGCTGCTCGGCAGAAAAATTTCCATTCCCTTTATTCCGAATGAATATCGTTTGCGCTGCTTTTTTTACCTTCGAGAACGGAAAGTAATGGAAAAATCTCGTATGAGGTGCGCGGAAAAGATACGCTCTGCGATAACAATGTAGTTATTTTTCCTTCCTTTTCGCCTTACTACCGCGCTATCGTCGTTCGTTTACGTAACGCGAGCCCATCGAACCATTCCTCGAGACGATATATGATATTTACGCGCGGCACTATTATATTTTATGTAAAGGGTGTTCCAGGCCAATAGGGACAAACTTCGTCGCGGCACGGATTGGGGTGAATAAATGTCTTCTACTATTTTGCGAACATTGCATTTTGCAAACAAAATATCGAGTTATTAGTCATTGAAAATAGACACGTGCAGGGGCTTTTCCAAATGGAGAATGGAAGTTTTGTTAATTAATAACTGGACAATTTTCGTGTTATTTGCAAAATGTAAAGGGCTTTTTCTGTTCAGAGTGGTATATATATATAGCGATATTATTATATTATAGATAAACTGATACGGCATACGGAAGAGCGATACACTCGAGACGCGGTAACAACAATGGCGGATATAAATGCAGCGTATTTGCATTCGTTGAGTATCTGGCGAGAACGCAAGAACCGACTTGTAGCCGCGTCGTGGATAATTAATACTGTTCTTGCTTCTTTCTCCTGTCCGGACGCCGACATAGTTTCGCAATAATTAATGGACAATGGCAGGACGCTTTTTATACGGCAAATAAAGCGCTAGCTCAATGTTTCAACTTCGAATTCTAATTGCTCCGTCCCGAGCCTTGGAAAGTTTTGAGCGATTCAACGCGCGCGATTTGCATAGAACCTACTTTATTCGATGAATTAATGCTCGTTATGAAGTTTCGTGTCCTACAACCCTGCCCGCGGCACCGGTGCCGCTGCGTCCTAGAAATTACAACGCGAAGCGCGAATTAGCTTTATGCGGGACAAAAATTAAACGACCATTACTCGAACTACGTTACCGAACTAAACTCCTCGCTATTTAACTGCGCGCGCGTCCTAAGTCGCGCAGTTAAATAGCGAGGAGTTTAGTCGCGATTTCCCATTTTACCGGCGTTATTATTATTTTATCTGCCGGCGGCCACGCCGAGCGCGGCTCGATGTAATCACATTTTACGGTGGCGGGCTCGTTATCAAAAGCGATCCTTCACGATGACTCACGGCGCGGGAAATCACACGTGAGGTGTAAATAATCGATTTGGTGGAAGTTTTGTATTCTTTAAAGCGCAATCAGTGTGTTTATCACTGAGAAGCAGGCAAAATTCACCAGCGCTGCCATTCAGTCGCAAAAAACGAAATAGTGACTGCTCCTTGGCAGAAGAAATGACGAAAAGTGACCTCTCGAACATCAAAAGAATGATCAAAAATGACATTTTTGTCAAGTTCTGAGAATAACTGAGAGTAAGGCTGTTTAAGCAAAAAAGTAACACTTACTCTTATCTTCCTGGGTTTATCTTTGGGTAACTTAACACACAGCGAGTTCTTTTCATAGTATAGTTTGAAATTTCAACAAAGAAAGATCAAGGACATGAATGATGTAATGCAAGTACGCTTTCGGAACAGTTTCACCAAGAGAGACGACACAAATTTATATATATAACGCTCATATTTTACAAATTTAAGTCAGGAGAAAAATGATTACAGTGACCCATTTTGCACGACAGTGAATTTTTTAGTGACTTGTCGAGAGAAAATGAAACTTTGAAAATTTTAAAAGGTGACTTGAGTGACTGAATGGCAGTGCTGCTGGTGGTGATAGTTATAAATACATATGTAAATAAATAAATAAATAAACATAAATACATATATATATATATTTGCTACGAAACGCGCAACAGCGATTTATAGTGAATCTTTCATCGATCAAAATCAGTGAAGTATAAGAGTTAAGCGTATCCAAAGTGTTTCCAAAAAATTTTGAAAATTAGTGAATACTCACTGATTATCGGCACAACACTGTTTTATTGATTCAGTCAGTGACATTTCCACCGATTCGACTTAAGAGTGTAAGTAGAGTCGGTACATCTCACGTGGTCCCCTTTGTTGTTAACGTGCGGTACAGTCAATCGCAATCCTCCCGCGTCGGAAAAACCCTGATCCTCTATTACGCGCGGTGAGAATGTGCGCGCCCGCTCATCCCCCGTTCGACGATATCGAATCTCGAAATTGCTAAGATGATTAAGCACCAGATGAACCGGGATGCCTTTATCCGCCACGAGGAATGGGTAAAGCCGGACGGTAAACCGGTCCGTAAACGAAACTGAAAGATTATTATCGCCACCGGAGTTCTCGAGATCGATGTTTGTGTGTGTGTGTGTGCGCGCGCGTGTCCCTTTCAAGGCGGATACGACCGGAAGTAAATTTATAACGCGGTTATACGTTAGAAATTTATTCTGGTGGAATCGCTGTCGCGTCGTGTACACTCGAAAACGCCCTCGTAATGATAAAAATTACCTCGTCAATCGTGAGAAAATGAAGAGACCGATCAATTGCGCAAATGCGCGTACGTCCAGCTGACGGATCGACTCGTACACGTAAAAGCATCCCCCCCCCTCCCCCTCGGCGTGGCGGGCAGGCCGATCGAACGCAAAATCGATGCGCGAAAGTGAAACGCCGGCCGGGCGATAATCAGCGCGCGGCCGGCGGAATTAATCTCCAACGGCATCGATTCACCCCGTGGCCGCTTAGTCGTATCGGGCTGCTTAGCCTGTTAATGACGCATTAAGGTCATTTAATGTCGTACGTGGTGCTTCAAGATGAATACCGCTGATCGAGATTCGGCGCCGCGCAGGATACACGCGCGCTACGCGCCATATATCCGGCCGTGGAAACGTCCAATTACAGTTAATTGGCAATAAGCACCGCGGGGAATCAATGATCACCGGGACGGCTTCGGACGGCCGGTTTAATGCCCGTTTTGCGGACGATATCGTCATTAATATTGCGCTGCTTAAATGCCCCGCCGTCGACGCGCAACGCCGAGAATTTCGGCTATTCGAGCCGACGGCAATCGGCGTGTTACAGGATTGATAATGCCGGGCCACTTTGGAAAATTGCTAGTCGCGGGACCAAGTAGGTATCGCCGCCGACGATTTACGCGTTATCGTTGTTTGCGGCGAGTAAATTTCGGAGCCGGCGCAAGGAGGATACTTACGAAAGAGAGAGAGAGAGATTAGCTTATACCGCTGCCGTTTCTGGCCCCGAATAAAGGCCGGAGGATTTAGATAAAGACGTAAGCACGGCGCATAAATGTCTCGACCAATGATGCGCTTAGCGTAAGCTATGCGCAACAATATTGTGGCTTATGCTCTGTGTGCTGCGAGTGCCATGCCGTTAAAGAAAGACTATTACATTTAAGTATCCCCGGGCAAAGAGCCTGTGACCAGCTCGCCAATTGGTCGAAAGTTTCATACAAGAATCGACCGCGCGACGAAAGCGAGCTCTCTGCTTTAAGGTATTAACTAGACCTTATTTTCAGTGGCGCATCAAGAGTGCCATTCATAAATTTGATATTTTCCAAGCAAAATCACCTCCTTTTCACATTCATTTCACTACTTAAATAATAAATGTTAATTTTTGAAACGAAGTTGAGGTAGACATATACAGAGTGTGTCCAAGATAACCATTCAGTATTTATATAATAGATAATACACATTATACTGAGTAAAAGCAACTTTATTAAACACAAGTAGAAAATTCAAACGTCTCGGAGATATAAACATTTTTGTATGCAGCATTATGATTTACTTACTAGCTCCCACATATCGTATGCGATGTTTTACCTCAGCGTTTAAAAACCGCGTTTTAAATGTCCTCAATTCGATTTCTCTAAATTAATATTCAATGTCATATATTTATAGTTTAGAAGATACTAAAAGTATAAATTAAAGATAGTTACGCCATTCTAAAGAACGCGTATAAAACATTCTTAGGAACACGTATGAAAACAAAAATGTCAACTTGAGTTATAAATATCTCAGCTCTTGAGTGGTCGATCTTTTTCTAATTGCACGACCAATGAATTAAATAATACTTCAATATATGTGCAAATATAGTGGAAATTTCATTGAATTCTTATCAACATCATTTCATTTTACAACATCCTTTAAAGTGAAATGACTTCTGATTTAATCCCCTTCGCTCTGAATTACTGTCAAACTTTTGGTGTCACTTTTAAATACATTGTGGATCGATTTGTATTTTTGTTTTCATTATCTTGAGTTATGAGCGATACATCATTAAAGCATTCTCCCGTATATCGTTGGAAACAAACGGACTCTCAACACTCACCCTGACTTGTGAAGCTCCTTTTTCGAGACGCAGACCGCCGTGAACGTGTCCTCCAGGAGGCACAGTTCCTTCTTCTTGCAGTTGAGTGGACGACAAAGCTCACCTGGGGAAACAAAATAGAAATCGATTTTGCGTTATCCTCTCTCGAGACGCGTAGACAGACTAAAATCTACTTGATCCCCCCGTCGTGCGCCAGCGAGATATCGCGCAGGACGAGGTCTACATATTCTGCGGCTTAAGGTAAATAGATTCGAATGTTTCACCCCGCTCGCGCACGCGTCCTTCATCTCGGAGACTCGGGTAATAAAGATATATCTCGCGTTGCCTGGAAAAAAAAATTAAACCCGCGTCTTCGCGATTTTCTCCACTTTGTCTCCCGTTGCCGAGATGCAACGAGGCTAGGACCTCGGCGCTGCAGGATTGATAAAAAGCTCGGCTGGTTATTAAGACGCGAAGCCCGCTTGAAAATCAAGTCGGAAACGGCCGCTCCGCGATAGAGCCAGCCTCTGATATTGCTTAATCTCCTCGGATAATTCTATCTTGGCGAGTTGAGAAGCTCGCTTCTCTTATATATCCGCCCATTTCTCTCTCTCTCTCTCTCTCTTTTTACTCCGTCGTTATTAGCGACGAGCTAAACATTATCCGCCACGTGGATACTCGAGGGAGACTAATTGCACGCGCGAGCAAACCCGTATATACACGCGTATTACATTATACACGCGTATTACATTATATACGTGTGCATTACATATATATTTACATAATCACAGCTACATACATAGGTTTAATTAGATCGACGATCGTCCCCCTCCCCCCCGTGCTCGTCAAGCGAAGACGCATTTCCTGCCGCCGCTCTCGAGCGCTTCTCGCCGTAAATAGAAGGCCGCGCGACACTAGGGAAGGTTAATCGCCGCGACTCATAATTCTCGCCGAGCTAAGCGCACGACAACCGTTCGCAGCAATAATGAGAAGCGCGATGATTGCGCGAAGGGGAAGAGAGAGAAAGAAGGGGAAGAAGAAAGAGAGAGGGAGAGAGATACCCGGATATCGGTATCGCGCGGACGCGCGCGCGCGCGCGTCCGTCAATCCCGGATTTTCTGTCCGCGAAGCGAAACGATCCGCCGCCGAGCGTGTATGATCCGCCGTGCACGGTGGGGCATCCGTTGCGCGCTGAGCATTTCCATTCGCCTGGAAATCGCCGACAAGCGATATTGGTCGTACGAGCGAGAGCGCACCCCGCTGACGCCCGTCCGTCCGCCCGCCCGACCGAATCTCTCTTCTCCATTAACCCCGGATCCGACCACCGCCGCCGCCAGCAGCACCCTCCCCCCCCCNAAATGGGACTCCGCGCTCCTCGAGCGACCCTTCAGCGACCATCGAAAAACGAATACGCGCGACGGTATCCTCGGCAATGCGTTCTTCGCCCTCGCCCGGACGATCCGCTCCCCTCCCGCTCGTTTACATCCCTTAATCGTTTCATTCGCGAATCATTCCCGGCGGCTGTTGCGTCGCGATACGCGAACACGCAGATGGGTATTGCGCATCCTTCGTCCTGTGCCCATCTCGCCGGTGGTTCGCTCCGTTTCGTTCTTTCTTTAGACCGGTGACGATCGCGTTGAAAACAGCGGTACTTTTAGCGTCGATACATCTCGATTTATGTATTATATGAGTATCTCGGAAATTGCTATTTTTTTCAAGAGCCACTCCTGCGAATGCGTAATGAGTTTAAGACAGTTGATCCGTCCAACCATTTTCTTGGGAATTCCTTTTAATTTCAGCTTCACGATGGAAATATTATCTACACGTCTATAAAGTTAGAAAACGATTGGCCATACGAGAGCTGGGATATTCGTTATTAAAGATGACACTTTTAACGCGTGTTCGTTAATGTAAGTGCCTTATTTTTAACTTCTATTTTTAAGTTCTTCTAAATCACACATTTAGGATTTTAATGAAAAATCTACTACGATATTATCTACGATATTAAGAGGCCATTCGACAATTACGTTATGCGAAATGTGAATATTTTCTACTTCTTTCCCCCTTCGTCACATTTTATCACAAAGTATTTGGACCCCTTCCAATATTACGTGACATGGGGAATTGCTCCGCCTCCCTTGCCTCCATATTTTGTTAGATTTCTTCAGATCCAGCACGAAAATAACTGTGCGTCGAAGGCTTAATACGACGTTCCGTAGCCTTTGCTCCTTCCTCTCGCCATCACAGTCGTCACGCAAGCTAATAGACCCTCCCTTCTCTCGTGGCGTGACGTAATTGTTAAATGACCTCTAAGGATCAATAAAAAAACATTATATAAAAATTTCAGAATTATTGATCGTCTAGTCTTGAAAATATAGTCATAGAAAATTTACAACTTCTAGTAATACCCACGATATACATGTTTAACATATATACACATATTTAAATATTTATATGCCACTTTCTATTATGTGTGCACATTTATTAACTCAACTGACATAAAGCATTAGTAAAAAAAGAATAAAAATAAATAGTATTTCCGTATTTTTAATATTGTATATATATTTAGCCCAAGATTAACATTTATTACTTAGATAGTTAAATAAAATTATAAGAAATTATATATAATTTTATTTTATTTTAAATTATAAGAAAGTCTTTTTATCAGTAAATAAATAAATTTATATAGGGGCTCCTTAATATCGTCACTGAAAATCCGGCACTTTACAATATGGACCAATTACTTTAAGGAATAGTATCTAATTCCAAAACCCTTTTGATTTCGGAAATATTCAGAACGAAACTCGTCTTTAATAACAATAAGAAATCGCAATCGCGCGCAATTACGTAATTATTTCTCAATTAGATAACATTTCCATGTATATGCCGCGCTTATTTCCGTTCGCGAGCGCGCAAGAAAGTCTTACGTTTTGTAATTTGGGAAATGCGCGACGTTGGAGACAAGAAATAAATGAGCAACTGACGACAAGAGAGAGTTTTTGCGTCGAGCATAAAACTGGCTAATATCCAACCGGAGTTGCCAAGTTTTTCAAGTGGCAATATAGTAAGGACTTGTAGAATTTTGTAGTAATAACTCGCCTGTGCAAAATTCAGTCGTGCACATATTGCTTTTCTAGCGTACAAGAAATACAATCCAGCTGTAAGGAATATAATCTAACTTTAATTAGTTAAAGAATTTACTTTTAAAATGTGAAAATACCAAAAACGTACATTTAAGAACAGCCAATACAGAAATAAAATTCATATTTTTCGAAGCGTATATTTTATAATATGCATTTGTTGTTTCAATTAATTAAATTTATTTGCGATATATTTATATATCGAGCGCGCAATTTAATTAATTAAATAACGCATGCTAAACCACGTACTAAAATTTTGTTACAAATGCCGTAATTACAACATAGATCCAATAGTTATCTTATCGTTAATAACGCTATAGTAATTGCGCGCGCAAATTAATCGCTACGGCAATCGAACGAAGTATAATTAAGCACAATCAGCTTTTTTACCTCGCTTTTGCGCGATTAAACGTTTTGTTCGAGAGCTTATACTTTCGTTATTCGCATTACCACGGGATAAACTATATAGCGTTTTGAACTTACAAAACTTTCTTCCCGATCTTCGCTCTCGTGCGATAGTTACGAGGAAGACAGTTGTAAAGATCTCCCGGTGCCTTGGAGTTTATTTAAAAGTTTACTACTATTACATAGGTGTACAGTAAGTTGCATCGGGAATATTAAAAACGCATGTGTCTTCAACGGTTTATTCAGGATGTCCCGAAATTAGACCGACAAACAACAAGTGCTTACAAAGGAGATCATAAAAAGTAATTTTTGTCAATAAATTCGTCCGTTTTGTTAATAAATCCATGTCCGTAAATAAGCTGTTTTGGCATTAGAGTAGGATATTTACAGCAGTTGTTCAAAGTGCCGGCTACTTTAATACAAAGATATCAGCAATTTTTTTTTCTTGTCCTTGTTTTTGTTTCTATCCTTTGATAAAATCATCAATAAAAATCGCTTTATCAAACTAAAGATTATTCGGAATTTTCAAACAGGTAGAATTAATATTATTCGTTATTGACTCACGAGCTCAGTATCATAGCGTTTCTTCTATTGTTTATCCGAAATTCGTTTACAAAATGGAAATTTTTATTTTGGTACACCGACTGATATGCGTTTTATTCCTGGGGAAACTAGATATAAATAGCCAATATTTTGAATAACTGCTACAAATAACACACATTCACTCTACGCAGTGAAATATCTCTACACAAACTCTGCACAAAAAAACATGAAATCGTCTTTGTTAAAATTTGTGTATTAAATTTTTAATATACCCGTGTGTTAATTTAACATATTGCGTTTATGTTACCTCAATATACATTTTGTGTTGTGTCGATATTTCATATGTGTAAATGTTAAAATAACACATTTTAGTGTCGTACTTCTCAGTGTCGATTAACATATTATGAATATTAATTTTGTGTTAATTTTTGACATAGTATTTGCGTTTATTTTTCAACATATTCATCTCGTGTTAAATTAAACACAAAAATTTGCGCGGACCGTTTGGGAAACGTGAAATGTGTTAAATGTAACCCAAAACTTTTTACTGTGTAGTGTCAAAACGGCTTGTTCGCGAACATGAGTTTATTGACAAAAATTAAATTAAATTGTTTTCTTGGCGTCCTTTATAAGCATCCGAAGTTTGTCGGTCTTATTTCGGACACCCTATATATACACGTACGGCAGTCATAAATACAGGAAGACGTAGGAAGGCTTCCTTGGCGCGTGTCGCGTGAAATCGCGCGACGTTTCCGCTCGCCGTGTAATACTCGTGGCAGACTGAGCAGAAGACGAAGCATGAGGCCAAAGGAGAAGGAGGAGGGGGAGGAAGAGAAGAAGAAGGAGAAGAAGAAGACGGTCGAGCCCGACAGTCGATAAAAGGGGTGACACCCGGCCCCGCTGCCGCCCGAGCCTCGAACGTTAAAGATTTCAAAATATCCAATTAAAAGTTTCTCCTATGACGCGCCGAGCTTGTCTCTCCCTCTCCCCCCTGCCTCTCTCTCTCTCTCTCTTTCTCTCTCCGCGGTGGAAGTAA